AAATATAGTTTTTTTTTATTTGTTTTCTATTTTTAGTTTGAACGTAGGATTTATTTTGGCAATTAATTTTATTATAAATAATTATAAACACAATATATAACTTTTGAATTATTTTTTATTATAATAATAATATATTATTAGAAAAGTGTTGGTTGCAGGTTAACCATCAAATGTTTGTTTTCATTTTAATTTTTCACGGTAAATTATTAAATATTTTAGGAATCTTACAAATTTTTATTCACTATTCATATGTTGATGGATTTATATTTATTTAAAACTTAATGTTTATTGCAATTTTTATAACACCGTTAACCACTGCTGATAGCGTTTGTACACTTATGTTGACAAAACAAAGCCGCACGAAAAAATGAAAGAGCGCGCGTCGCGACTGACGCGCATACGTTTACTATGGGACATTTGAAAATTTCATAGTCACAATTTTAAGTTTAAACCGAGTACACGTGACTAAATGTCAAATTTTTTTATAAATTTTTATTGTCGACTGAGCAACAGAAATTTTACTATGGAACTATAATGAAAAGTTTTAAGCACACTCACAGTTTTTGTTCAGTCAGTTTACGAAAATTTTTTATATATGTTTATGTAACAGTTACATGGTCAAATTTACTATGGTCCCTAGTAAATATTAATTGGTACAATATGATATTCTTAAATTTTTATGGTAATATTTTCAATTGAGTCATTAAGGTTCAGTCTTATTATGTATGCATAGTAAATTTCTACAGAAATTTCTCACCGTGTAGCGGGAAGTTGCAGGGATGGCCTTTAGGGTCAACCGTTTTCCTAATTTTTTTTTTATAATAATACACTTTTTTTCATTCATCTCACTCAAGTTTTATTATTTCATACGTTATAACATATTGAGGTTTACCAAACTCTCTAATGCATTTTTGTTTCAAAAGATTTTAAAGGGTTTTTCCTTTGCTACATTATAAACATTTGTGTTCATAGGGATACTTTTGTTTAAACTTTTCACCGTAAGAAGTTTTATTCTACCGAACGAGAAAAAATAAATCTCATGTGCGGGCTTTTCTTTTCAAATGTTTATGCTTGAGTTGAAGTTTCAAATACCATTGCAAACATCACTCGAGCCAAAATAACGCGCATTCAACTATACATTTACACCGGTTTTACATTCCCTCGCCATAAAAAGGTTCAGTAAATCAAAAAAGAAAAATATCAAATAATTTATTTTATAAAAATAAATAACAATTGCAAATAAATTCGTGAAAAATAAAATTAAAAAAAAAATTTAATTACAACTATTGTAAATTTCTTTGTACAAAAAAATTTATTTACCACAAAAGATGTCAAATACTTGTTATTTACTCAAAATAATTACAAGCTAACAATTGTATTTTAAATAACTGAATTTAAAAATAAAATATTTAATTATTAATAGAAGCCCTTTTAATGTTAATAATTAACGCTGTTGATGAACAAGCAATCAGTTAAATTATATAGTATATAGATATAGGAGGATAGGACCGCGAAAGCTTGTATATTGACGCTCTTTCCATTATTTAATTAACATCAGAGAATGCTTGTACCGCACACTCGACCATCATTGGTTATCGATTGCATACGTAACACGTCGACGATCGAACCTCCGACCGATATACAATATATATAACCTGGAGATCCCAGGGCTCGAATAATTACCCTCTTTATTTTACCTGCTATTAAATAATTTTACATTATCAATAATGAAATATAATTATTAATTATATGTATTAAAAAAAAAAAAAAAAAAAGCATCGGTCCCAATAGACATCGAATCTGAAGCTTTTTCATCAGCTACGTAACGCCTAATTATTTTACATCGGAGGTTCCAGTGACCCAATTCACTCCCACTTACTCAAAGTATAATATTATTGTACATTGTATATATAATAACCAACTTGTAGCTTCCCCTAATCAACTTCTCGCGTTCTGAATAAAATAACCAGCACTTCGAAGGAAGGACTAAAAAATTCAAACCGGCTTACTACGAATAGAAAACAAACTCGCTATTGAAACTTGTACGTGAGTGAACTTTTGTTTATTCTTAAAACCTCTAAACGAACAACGGAGGCTTTATTTTTATTGGAAAGTTACTGTGGTTCATAGCGTATATAGTTAAAACAAAACCGCAGGATTATTTGGATACACTAGGAGAAAAATAGTTGATTCAAGATAAATATTCTATTCGAAATTCCACTCCGGTTTTGAGATATTCAGAATACAAAACCCATTTTTCTAGCTACTGTTGTATATTTTTGTAAAGTGGCTGAAATAAAAAAAATGCAAAGAAATAACTTGTAGGAAATTCAATTTACTACAAAATTTATTTCAGTGCTCATATCACTAAAATGCTTAATTATAAGCAGTTGAATACTTCAAAATCAGGCTAAATTGGATTTTATCAAAATTTTTTATTTTTTCTAAAAATGCGGACGTCAATCACCATGTCGTCTTAACCAAAAATTGGTTTAGTCCACAAATAGGACTCTTAAAAATCAAAAAAATAATTTTCATTCCATAACAATGGCTCAAACTTAACTCTCTTGTATAAGGGCAATTTAGTGACCATGCGCTCCTTGTTGGAAATTTTTTACCCTGATATTAATCAAAAAATTAAATATTGACATATCAAATTATACCAAGCCAGAGATGTCCATGTATGTACAGAAAAAAATTAATTTGATTCAAGAGAAAAATTCTTAAACCAAGAAAATCATTCGAAGAGTTTCATCATCTTGATTCAAGTAAAACAATTCTCGATCTCAGAAATTTTTCTTGACATATGTAAATTTGACTTCGTTAAAGAATGTTTCTCTTAAATCAAGTTAATTTTTTTTCTCCCCTCCGTGCGGAAAGCGTCAATTTTCCGCTCGCTGCGCTAAACGAAAATGCTGCTTTCCGCCTCCGTCGAGGAGAAAAATAGTATTCTCACCACGGGCAGGAAATAAGAAAGCCTCAGATCACATGTTTGTCGACCTCGGCTTCGCCTCGGTCAACAATTACATGTAATCTGAGACATTTCTTATTTTCCTGCCCCAGGTAAGAAAAATACTATTTTGATCCCTAGCAGGAAAAAAGGAAAATCAGCCGAGGGCTAATGTTCCTTTTCAATTATAAGCTCGTGTTAACAAGCCCGAAAACGTGTAGCAATAAATCATCAATAAATTAGGGGTGTCATATCATAATATGCCGGATGAATAATGTTTTTTGAATTGCCGGCATCGACCAACAATAAATAAGGAACAATAGAGAGCAAGCTTTGAGTTCAAACAATAATAAATAACAACTCTTACCTCGGTATCATTCCACCACATGTGCAATCGATAATTCCTGAGAATAGCTGGATTGTCGTTGATATGGTCTACAGCAAGCTTTACGGAGGGCATTACCCCACGTCCGATGTGACTTTCAGGCACGTGCCTCCCATAGGGAAAGAACCCGGCGATATAAACGTCCCGTCGTTTAACGCCGCCAAGATTGATTGGCTTTTGACCCCCGCAGAGCAGAATCGCGTCTAAGCACAGGACAATTCCGATTCCGAGAGCCGCCCCTCGTAGACGAAGCAGCAGCAAACAACAAAGCTGGGGCTGCTTTTGTCTTTGCCGGTAATCGATACCCCCAATTCCGCCAATCATTTTTAAAGCTTTTGATTTCTACTTCTGTTCCCACTCCGACAAAAAAACCAACACCTCTACCTACACCTTCTTCCCTTTTTTTCTCCGTCTGGTTCTGGTTCTGGTTCTTTTGCTCCTTCAGCCTCGTCACTTCCCTTTCCGGGCTCGCGTATCACCAACATTAACCGCCTCCACCATCTCATTCACCAGGGTCCGATTAATCTCACCGCAACGACATCCCTTTTCTCCTTGGGTATCTCAACCCTTGGTCCTTCCAGCTTTTCATTTCTCTTTCTCTTTTTTCGAGCCGTGGCCTTTCAAAAAACTGTTAAAGACCCAACAAAATCCTCTATCGCAAAACACACGCGGTCAACCCTCGTCTCATTATCACTATTTCACACTCGCGGCTATCACTATTCTATTTCACTCACTATTTCATTATCTCATTTTCGGGTTCGGAGTTTTCTGAGCGTCTTTTGTTGCTTTGGTTTAGTTTTTACGGTAGTGGAAGCTTGGAGGCATCACTCTGGTATCGTTCACAGACAACATTGACCCAATTGACTGCCGAGATCAACCTGGAACATAAAATTTGTGTGGTAAATATTAGACAAAAATAAGCTTTTTCTATTAAAAAATGGACACTTTTTCATGGAACTTTTGTTAGCAAACATAAAATCATCTAAACGGAAAAAAAGTGGAGTGAAAATTGCATCAGGTAATCCAAAAATTGTACCACTGATAATGAAAACTGAAGTGATTCTAAAGTACACCACATGGTGATGTAAAATCTGTATCTAATGTATTTTTAAATGGAACTAATTTGACGGCTTCTATACTTTAGCCTCGGTTACAACAGACAGAGAAGTACGCGTAGATTGAAATTTTTGACTGGTGTTTCTAATAATCATTATTATAATTTTAAATACAACAATTATAGGTTACATATTTCTTATGTAATCGTTATTATTTTAAAAATAATTGTGAAAAATATAAATAAAAACAACGTATATAATCTGTACTTAGACTGGAAATTATGATTGATTCGCGCATGCACTAAAAAGTGATGGATTTCACACCACAGTGATACAATTTTTGAATTACCTGTGATTTTAAAATTAAACCACTCTATAAATGCAATTTTAATATCACTTATGGTGTAATTTTTAAAACAACATTTTTTCCCGGTAAATGTTTTGAGGACATTATATAGCATGTATCATTGGATCTGAAATATGAATTATAAAGGATTCAAACTATTAACTGGTAGTTGGTCTGTAAAACTTATTGAAAAATACTTATTTTTCCATAAAAAATAGTTATTTTTTACAAAACTTTTGTTATTAATGATGGAATTATCTAGATTTTTTTGAAAAATTTCTAAGTCCTTTTTCATTGATTCTAAATCATGAATCCTAAAGAATCAAAAATATTTACTAGTAGTAAATCTGCAAAAGCTACTTAAAGATAATTATTTTTTTCATAAATTATAGATACATTTTCATGGAAGTTTGTTGACAATGATAAAATCAATTAGATTTTTTTGACAACATTCAAAGACATGTTTCTTTGAATCGAAATCATGAATTCTGAAGATTCAAAAATATTTTCTCACCTCCGGGCAGAAAGCGTCAATTTTCTTCCCGCTGCGCTAAACGAAAATGCCGCTTTCTGCCTCCTCCGTCGAGGAGAAAAATAGTATACACACCACGGGCAGTAAATAAGAAAGCCTCAGATCACATGTTTATTGACCTCGGCTTCGCCTCGGACAACAATTACATGTGATCTGAGACATTTCTTATTTTACTTCCCTAGATGTGTAATATACTATTTTAACCCTTCAGTACCCTCGCTATGAAAATTTTTCTCACGCAACAACATTCAACTTACAGGACGTCGCTGCAGTGCAAATGAGACACTAAAAAAAACGTGGGTACTGAAGGGTTAACTCATAATATTTTGACGCAATGATGCAAAATTTTCTACTGTGTAGAAAAAAACAAAAATATTTACAATTATTTAACATGCAAAAACTGCTAAAAATGGTTTTTTCATGTAACGAATGAACATGCTATATTGAAACTGAATATCACCTCGGATTAAATAAAATCATTTATGATTGATCACAAAATTTTTCACCTAGCACAATAGATCCACATTGAAAAGCTACTGATGAAAACGAAACAAAGGTATGACAGTAATATACTAATACCCCAACTATACTATATGCATATGGGTACCAAAAAGTTTAAAATATTTAACTTATGCTTGCTGGATTGTTATGGTCACTGAAACGAAACTCAAGCAAAAAAAAAACAATAACAAATAAAGAAGAGAATAAACAAAATAAAATGCCAGATATTCGCGGCACGGTTTTAGTTCCAACTAAAACAATAAAACAGAAAGAAATGAAATAAAAAAAAGAATAAACCCGATATAGGATCGGGTGTCAAGCGTAACTTGATTTGAATAGCAGCTCGTTTTATTATATACATACATAGCAAACTGTATAACGGAGTTAGAAGCGTACGCCGATGGATTTTAGTCTAAATAAATTTTTTATAAATTTTATGCCGAATCTGTTCTGGTAATACTCGGAGGAATAATGTACTGAGGGATTACTTTGTATGCGCGAGTGTAAGTGTAAGTGTGCAGGTCGTTCGAATAACTTGTGCAACGATGGGTGTGTTTCACTCGATTGATCAATAAATGTATTTTTATTTTTATTTCTATTCCTATATTTTATGTATATATATGGCTACTTCATTCATGCCCTTTGCGTTGATTCACAATCCTGCTGTTTCAACTGACTAAAAAAATGTTTAATTGAATTTTTTTACGTTATTTTGTTGTGATGACGGCGAGTGCGACAATTGATCATTGGGGAGTTGTAACGAATATTCGAAACTCGCGGATGATTGCCGAGGGACTTTATTCGGTTGGCACAGAATAAAAAATTTACGCGTGTTACAAATGGGAAAATTGATGTTTTTATTACGAAAATGAGTTGGATGTTTAATGATTTTTGTCATACATGGTAAAAAAGTTAGTTAATTCAAGAAAAACGCTCTCCTAAAAATTTCTCAGCCAGAAATATGACGTCTTTAAGATTTGGTTACCTTATATTTGAATTATAAATTTTAAGATAATTGGTTTTTTGAGAACATTTTATTTTTTTAATTAGAATAAAATTGCAAGTGTCAAACAATTAAACCAGTGAAAATAACTGGGTCTTCTACCTTATTATAAAAATTGATTATAAGGAAAGAATGTATTGCTAAAATGAGTTATAAATTTGTTGGAGATGATAAATTCCACTCTGACAACTTCTTTTGCATCCAAGAATCCATATAAGTAAGGGAGTAAGGGGAAGTAATATTAATGATTAATACTTTTATTTATAATTTATAAATTATTTAATTTACACAAATAAATATTTAAGTAACTAGACTCAGGCACGAGGTAAACTCTAGGTAATAACTAAAAAACACGCGTACACTGTAGATTGGACGGAAATGACAAAATAGTGGCGCCACCGTCACGGTTGCTATGGTAACATAGAATTTAGTTTTAGTCCTGTTAAAAAACTTGGTATTCTCAGATTTAAAATACCAGTTTTCTTAAATCTAAAATATTTAACTTGACTTTTACTTCGTACAAGAAAACTCGACTAAAAAATATTCAGTATTCCGGGTATAAAACAACTTTTTTTTCAGTGCATGTTAAACTGTTCTTAAAGACTTCAGAAGACGTCATATTGCTGACTGGGTTGACTTGCTTTATTTTTAAAAATTTCTTTATTTATTAAAATAATATTATTTATCAATGTAATTATTATATATTTATACCTATAAATTAAATAGTTATTTTTTTTTAAATATGACATAAAATAGCCGTGTAATTTTTACTTAACCATTTTTGTAATTTTCACACAAATTTTTTCTTGGTTCAAGAAAACTTGACTTAGTTTAAGAAATTTTTAGTCTTCTTTAATAATTTGGTGAACGAAGAAAACTGATCCTCGAGTCAAGAATTTTTTCTTTCTATGCAATGTCAAATTTTATTGCAATTCGCTCTCATAATATAACATTGACTTATAGATTATAAATTTTTCTTCTCTGTAAAAAGGAGTTTCAAAATAAAAAACTTTTAAATCAGAGCATTCAATTCTCTTTAAAATAATGTTGTTTTTAAATCAACAGTTTCTTTCACACACTAATAAAAAAAATAGACGCTTTAAAGAGTATTCAATCAGAAAATAATCAAATTCTGCTACAAATCAACGGAAACATGACTTTTACAATTTCATAATATTAACTTCAACCGTTTCACGATGCTAATTCGTCATTTGGGTAATAAAACGGTAGCTAAAGGTGTACAGCCTTCAAGGCTAAAAAGCTTCGCCTTGGCACAGTAACATAATTGTAGAAAAGGATAAGCTCAAGACAAGCTCGAAAAGAAAGGGAGGAAAAAACAAGAGTAGGTAAGTGGCAAGTTTTAGGTCTTGCGTGTAACGGGAAGAAATGCGGGCAATATCAGTGAAGTGAGCCAGATCCCTTGACTAGTAGGACTCAGCCACCCTCCCGACTGGGGTCTACATTCTATATTACACCACATATATAATATATATATATGTAGAACTATTTAACAAACTCGACGACGTAGACGTTAACACGCTAGACCACTTATACTACAACTGTTCAATGTTAAGACTAACCCTCACCTCTGTTATCTACATTACTGGCTCCCGCTATCGCATAAATATATATAGATATATTTAATTCAATAGTATACCGTTATATAGTATGTACTTCTGTACACAAGAACAAACTGGTCGATATACTCCCGAGAGAATCTCCACGATCTCTTCAGGGCTCTGAAAAGCGTCGCCGCGTGACTACAAACTGCCTCAGAACACGAACGGTGAATACGTGAAACCCGAACTATTTCAAGGTTACCCACGTGTGTCTGATTATAGACACCCCAGAACATTTTCACCCGCACTGTCAACCTTTAATTAGATT